TCAAATCCACTTCCCCTTCCCAACCTCTCCTTATAAGAAAAGGATGGTAAAGAGAAAGGGACTTAAATTAGGCCTCCGGCCTCTCTGGAATGAGAGAAATTTGCACATATTTTAGTCGCTCTGTGATAGTCATCAAATTAAATTATTTTAATAATAGTTGTAAGTTGAAAGTACAATTTGGTAATGATGAGTACAAGTAAAATGTAAATTTTAAAGTATTATAAATGTATTTTTGTAATAAATGTTTATTGTAGATCGATTGTTTTATTTTAGTTTCGTATTATGTTGACTTAACGGTAAAAATTATCATCATCAGACAACCATACATCGCTGGCTTCTACGTAGACTGTTGTAAGCGACAATTTTGCAATTTTACCTTTTTTTCGCTGTTGTCTAAGTAGCGTAGTGTGCTTTTGGTGCATTATAAATAATCGTTTTAAAGCTTTGTTATGCAAAATTTGCATTTCACATTTCAGACACGATCGTTTAGTGAGGTTCCATTGATATTTTAATTGTCATTGAAGTGTTAGATAGCTTAAAAATTCTATAGTGTTACAAAATAATAGAAACGGAAGTAGTAGTGGGGGGTAGTTTTATAAAAGTCTTTGCAAGGAGTGAGGCGCACTCAGTCGCTTAGTGGCTGTCGCTTAGACAGTTGCACTCAGTCGCTTAGACAGTTGCACTCAGTCGCTTAGTCGCTAACAAGCTCTCTAGCCTTCAGGACCTCAGTAGCTCAGTACATTTCTAGTCGTCGCCACGGAACGTTCGATATCTTTTACGTAGTTGCCTTAATGTATTCGTTTTATAATAATTCACCAGTATTGCTCATATTACCGCTCGACTGTCATATATTTTTTAAAAAGTCATTCATATCGAAATTTATAACAATAGATTAAATTTATCAAAAATCTACACTTAGGGAAGGCTCTTGACGACTATGCGTGAGATGACACTTTTATATGTGTACCTTTTTCTATAAATCTGTCTGTTGTATGTATATCTAAGTATTACATACGACTGTTGTATTTGTATTAAAACGTGTGCTCTTGAACGTAATGTATGCGTACAGAGTGCATAATAATCGAAGTCGAAGCCGGTATCAACTTGGGGTTATCGTGATTTACAGTACTGTCGGAAAAACAAGTTAGTGACGAACAATTTTCTTACAATTCATGTTATGTTGCCGAGATTTCATTGAACAAGAGTATGGAAAGCATATATTTTTTCTCATTTAGGAGAGGATGAGAAGAATATTTTATTTATGAAACCATGCGCTTTATTCAGAACATGGTTAAAGTGTACAGAACGAAACAAAAGACTGAGAAAATACAATTTGACTCAAGATTTAAAACAACGATATTTCTCAATTTATGTTTTGCTAACTCTACTTGTTCTTGACTCCTAGAACATAGTTTTGCATTGACAAGATAACTTAGCTGGGATTAGTTGAACAACAATGCTTGCACATTTGTGTTGTGTGCTGTTTTTTATAACTGTACATTTTTCTACAATCCAATGCGAGGTAAGATTTAGTTAGCCTTGAATCTTAATCCATTGTTTTGCAATCCAATCAACTAGTTTAGTCAAAGGTGCACATGCTCTTATAACGCTATTTTACGTTGCAAACAATTGTCAACTTTCAGTTAACCTCAACAGAGGTAGAGACAGTGTTAAAGCAATGTCAAACAAACATAAACACGTCACATGAGTTGGACAAGAACGACAAACTACTACTGGCGAACTGGACAACGGAATTTCAGATGAAGCAAGTGAATATAACGTCACACTACAGGCTGGAGATGACGCGACATAGAGAGCATAACTTTAAGAAAGTTAGTTTGAACACTAAGGTATGTCAAATTACATAATTCCTAGCTGGACATCTTTTGTAGTTATTCAAACCAAAAAATTCACCATCAAACATTTACTGCTCCACTTAGTCCTTAATTGAGGACTTAGGAAGACACTTAAGAAATGATTTCAAGGTACTTAAATAGGTGCGCGTCAAATAATAGCAAAAATAATATTGCTATCCTTCAGGGATTCGTGAAGGGCGTTTATTATGCGAAGTGTTTAGAATTCGTTTCAATATTCGGCTGTATGTGTGACAGTTTTTGTTTGTGATGTTTTTTTTTTAGTGGAAGGAATGTTTAAGATTACACAACAAAGAAATTAGAAATTCTAAGCGATCTTACTTCGAGAGAGAGGCTCAATGCCTCAAGGTCGCAAACTCTGCTGACAGAGACAGAATGAAAGCTGTTAACCAAGTGGAAAAAGAGGTAATTGTAGCAGATTAGTACCTTCTAAACTAGTTACATTAATTACTCTTAATTGTTAGTTTTAGTAACTTTACTAGCTTTCGCCCGCGACTCCGTCCGTGAGGAATAAAAAACAAAAGTAAGTAGCCTATGTGTTCTTCCAGACTATGCTCTACATATGTATCAAATTTCATCGAGATCCGTTCACCAGTTTAGGCTACAAACTCTTAAAAACATCCATCTAATCTTTCGCATTTATAATATTAGTGTGATGAGAACCTTAATCTTTACACTTTTAACGCATCATTTCCTTGATATAAGTAATACCTATTCTAGATGTCTAATAGAAGAGATTTATTGTGTGTTGTTAATGTTTCAGATAAGGAAATGGCGTAAAAGTTACAAATATCTATCGAATTTATGTGAAGTTGATAATCCAGGCGACAAAGAGACTGCTGATCGGTGTCTGGCTGAGTATGTGAGTAAAAAGGACTTTAAAAAGTCATACATAGCCATAGCACTTTTACGTAGTTTGCTATCAAACAAGTTTAAGATTCATTCACATAGATGGCGCTGTATGTCGATGTTTACTTTGATGTCCAAATTTTTGTTTCGCTATAAATGTCAACTTTCTAACATTTTACAGATAAAAAGAGATAACTACGATTCTACATTTGAGAGACTGATACTTTTGAAGTTAGACACAATGTCAGATCTCTTGGATAAAATGAATAATTGCCTTAACGAGCTCGAAGAATGTCTAAGGTCGAGTTTCTCCGACAATTTGCAAAACATTAGAACAGTTATGAATGTTTTAGGACTGTGTTATAATAGGATTAGAGAAAGTAATAAATGAAGAAAGGGAAAAACGGCCCAATTCTGAAACGAATAAAAACTTTGTAAACACCGCTTACAATAAACGTCAATATTTTATTGGATTTTGTAATTGAAGTGGGGCTTTACTTTAAATGTTGTTTCAATATTGAGCCGTTAGACTCTCCATCAAATTATTGTTAGTACAAAAACAAATGTTACAGATTAAACCTTGTTTACTTGTTTTTAAAACAAGGCTTACATAGTTATGGGTAAATTGGGATGAGGTTTTTTAGAAATCGTGAAATAAAACGCAGTTATTTTTTAAAATTTGTATATTACTAATTCGTTGTTTTAAATACTTTGCAAATATAAAAAATAGGTATATATTTACATTTTATTACTATAAAATAAATTTATTTGTACACTTTACAACGTATTACTATGGCAATAAAATTAGGGTTTCTTTTTTAAAATCTGTATTTGTGTTTTTACAAATGTGTTAAAACATTGGTGTCGCCAAATGGATAGATGAAAAAAAAAAATTAAAAAAGATATAAAAACTACTTTGAAAAGACATTAATGGTCTCCCCCAGATCTAGCCTAGTATCACCACCTGACGACACCTATTGTGTAAAATTGTGTATTAAATGCATATAAATAATTTAACGGTAAGACTTGGCACTTTATATATGAAATACTAAATTACCACATTTTATACGTAGCTTTATTAATAATAATTTAAAACATAATTTACATTTTATGTCATTTATTTACCGTTAAATAAAGTAGAGATTCTTTGCAATTAGTAAATATCTTAAACACAAATGTATACGTAATTTACGTAATAAAGGAAACTTTTATGTTCATTTACATATTTTTATACCTAAGTCAATATTTAACACGCGTACTTATCACAAGTTAGTCTTAAATCTAGATAAATCTGACTAAAACTGGTCTAAACTAGTTATTTAATGGACGTTGACGATGTATTAGATTTAATATACTTTGAATAAATAATCCATTGACTAGTTCGTTTTTTGAACATGAATTCATGAAAAAATACTTGAAGTTTATTTTTTAAAGTTACTGGAATTTTTAAATTCAGATTGCCTATGAAATAAACGCATATTTAATAACAGTTATCTTGCAGATTTTCTATACATGGAAAATTGGTTATTTCCATATTGGTTATAACTAAACATTTTAAAATTACAAAATTGTTAAAAGTTCTTAGTTAAAATAATACTTCGTCAACATGCACATTGCATTATGAGCTATATTTACATTGTCCGTAAAGTTCATTATTCTGTACACCTATTGCCGTCGAAGATTCTGGAAAAAAATTGTTTTTTAATATAATATTCTACAATAATCTTAACAATAGAACTTGTACTTAAAAAATGAGATTAAGTTAATTTAAGTGCAAAAAAAGTTATTGTCAGAAGTGGGATTCGAACCCACGCCCACAGAAGTGGACTGCGACCTGAACGCAGCGCCTTAGACCGCTCGGCCATCCTGACTTGGACATTCCGAGTGAAAGAATCAATTAAAATTGATTTTTACAACTTAGACTAACTTTTGCTTGCGACTTCGTCCGTGCAGATTAAAAGTAAATAGCCTATAGTTCTTCCAGACTATGTTTTTACATCTATGTCAAATTTCATTAAGATCGGTTCAGCCGGTTAGGATATATCTTCTAACAAACATCTATCTATCTAAACTTTTGCATTTATAATATTAGTAATTTGACATAACTGTGTCAGTTTTCTATAAGTTAGTCTACAGTGTTATAAAGGCGATATCTATCTTATTCTAATATTATAAATGCCAAAGTTTAGATGGATGGATGGATGGATGTTTGTTAGAATCTGTAGCCTAATCGGCTAAACGGATATCGGTGAAATTTGGTACAGATGTAGAGGATAGTCTGGAAGAACACGTTAGTACAAGTTAGTAGGTTTGTATAATTAGTTATTCATATTGCATCTTACCAGTGCGGGGGGCCGAGGGCGGAGGGCCGCGGCGGAGGCTCCGGGGTTTCGGGGGAAGGCGGCTTGAATGTACTGCCCTGTTATATACAGTTACATGTATTATACCTTTATTTTTAACTAAAATAGTGTTAATTTGATTCACTTTGTATTTTGAACCCATTTAATTAATTGTTGACGATAATTTAAAAACATATACACATGTAGTTTAGGAACGTTGAAAAACGTGAGAATATTCCATAGAAAAATAGAATTCATTGTTAGCCACCGTAATAGATGGATATGCGAATGTTTGGGTAGTATGAAATATTTCCCAAAGTTTGTCAATTTGATACAGGTTATTGGTCCTCAAAATCCTCCTGTAAGAGGTAAAATGATTACAAAATCGGGTATATTGGTATTGATTAATGTTTATTACCTGGAAGCCGAGCGCGGCCTCCAGCGGCGAGGGCTCGTCGCCGGCCAGCGTGGCGTACTGCGCGCCGTACTGCGCCGCGCTGCCCGCTATCGTCGCGTACGTGTTGTCCGCCTGGGGATACAATGGTCCACAAATATGCTGTTTATTAATACTTCTTCAACATAAATAATAATAAAATATACCCTATGTTACTCACAGATAAATATCCTTTCTAATGGTGAAAGAATTTTTAAAATCGGCCCAATAGTTATTGAGTTATCACAATACATACAAGAATACAAAAAAAAAATTTTTTCTCGATTTTTTACTAGCTTTCGCCCAAGACTTCATCCGCTTGAATTTAATGCAAAAAAACACCATAGCCTATGTTACTCACTGATAGCGTAGCTTTTTAATGGTGAAAGTTTTTTTGAAATCAGCAAAATAGTTTTTGAGTTTTTCCCATACATACAAAAATACAAATCTTTCCTCTTTATATATTAGAATAGGAGTATAGATAGATAGAACCTAGTCTGTG